GAGGGAATTCTGTCTCAGCTTTATCCCAACCAGAGTCAAGGGAGCAATATGATTTCTTTTGCTTCTTTTTTCAGGACTCCAGAGGTGCTTAGATGAAAATTTTTTTCTGAAATTTTTTTTATTCATAAGTTTCTTTCCTATTTAATCTAGTATCTATGAGAAAGAAGCAAGACCATTTAGAGTGCTGGAGATGTCAACACTATATGGAAATCTATAAAGATTCAGGAACTCCACTTCTAGGCTTGTGTCTGTTCAAATGTGTCTGGGGGAAAAAAAAAGAAAAGAAAAAGTCAGTGTTTAAAGGTTAAATGTGGGGGGTTGAGGGTGGCTATTGACCAGAAACCTGGACTTCAGCTTCAAACAAAAGAGAGAATAAAAAATGAGGACCTATTACATTTTAACTGAAGCTTTGCCTCTGAGACAAATGCAGCTAAATATTAACTAGGGCAATGCAGTAAATTACAGATTAAGATGCAATTATGCCTCATCTCTCCCTGTTTCAGGGTGAGAGCTTGTCGATGTTAGGACTCAGATAAGGGGAAGCGCCATGTGACAGGTGGCATTGATTGTGGAAGCAGGCAACTTCGATAGCTTTTAGATCTTGGGCTCCCAGGAGGCAAGACCCAAACATCTTCCTTCCTTGCACACCTCCTGCATAGCAGTCATGCTTCTGCGAGCATTTAATAAGAACAATACAAAGAACACAGATGGAAAACCATACCTGCAACAAGCCGCTAGTAACCACCAACAGCTGAGTGGGCTGGTTGGGAACTGCAGTTCCATAAACCCTAAAGCGGGCTTCTCACGCTCATTCCTGCAAAACCCCTGCTCACTCGAGTGAGGGAAAGTGCTCAGTGGTTCCAAACAGGCTCCTTGCTGGTGTTATGAAATAAAGATCACAAGGTCAAGGTGGGCAGTCCAGCACTCTGGCAGGCTTCAAGGACATGCTCTTGGTGGGTTTCCCCAGAAACTCAAAGCAACTGCCTCCTCTCAGAACAGTGCCTGAGGGAACTGTCTCAGCACAGGTCTCAGAGTCCACGTTTATTGAAGGTTCTGAACACAGGTTCAGTTGCTGGCCTGTTGAGCACTGACATGAAAGTCAACTACAATATGTGTTGAAAATACAGACTCCCAGACATGACTCTTGATCCAGGGAAATTGATCTATAGGCACATATTGCTCAGGGAGCTGAATTTCTCATCTGCCCTCACTGGTTCTGTCGCATCCTCAAGGTTGCGTTTGCCTGGCTACTGGACGTGCCCATCTTTCCACTGGGGCCATCCAGGTAACTGCTTTCTCTTAGGATCTGTGACACATCTATTTTTTTTTGTTCCGCATATCCCTTCTTGTCAAAGGAATGGAATGTAGGATAGGATTATCCATTATTATTTCATAATTAAGAATAAGGAGACAAAATGGCCTAGGTGAGTCAGAGAAGCTTGCCAGGAATTTCCACTTCACTAGCAAGCTGGTTGTTTTCTAGTCAGTCTGCAAGTTTCTAGTTAAGGAGCCCATTGTTTCTGTGGGTGCCACCAGCTACGTAAAAGGCAGGCTTCTCCCCTGGATCAAAGGTGTGGACTGACAAAGTAATGAAAAGGATAGATAGTGGTTGGTTCCTCACCCTTCCAAATCTGGTGGAGACAAAACCAAATGCAACCAAACCCCTGAGATTCCAGTCTAGACAGTAACTGAGCTGGCAGGTCTGAGCCAGCCCTAGGGCTGAGAATTTCCCTAAAGATTTGTTTTCCAACAGGCCACGTGTTCTGGGACACTTAGCTCCCAAGAGCCCTTAGAAATCCTAGATTCAAACAATTATGAGCTCTCCCAGGGTTGAGCTGTGGGCTTCTGTTCAGTGTGGTCTACAGGAGATCCGGTCTCCCTCTAAATCCTCTGCCCTGATAAAGACGGCTTGGAGCTCCTGAAAAAGCTGTACCTCAGGGAGCGTGGTGGCCATTATTTATTGAGTGCTGCCCCCTAGAGGACTAGAAATGGTTTTGCCACTAGAACTCCACAGAGGCTTCCTCTACCCAATATAGATAATCTTCCCTTCACTGGGGTGGGAAATGCTGAGAAGCCTGCTGCCTTCCTAAGGACTCGGGGAGAAAAACAACTCCCTCTCAGGGACTCCTCTGAAAACTCAAAATCTGTTAATACTGTGAATTGGGTCCCAAAACAGCAGACTAGGTCCAGTATAGAATCCCATGCTTCTTCCTGTCAGATCCAGGACCCCGACTGCTGTTTGGGGGATCTTCAAGCCCAAACTAGAATTCCAGAGTTATCATTCTTTTCCAAAGCTAGTTCTCTCTCTCTCTCTCTTTCTCTCTTTCTCTCTCTCTCATGCCACCCAGTACACACACGCACACACCCCGCTTGCATTTTACCTAAACTCTGGCTAACTCAGTTTTCTCCTATGCTGAGCACTTGCCAGAGGGGTTAGCAATACCTGGTGACTAGCAGGAAGAGGTAAAGTCTTCATGCAGAGGATGTCCCTATAGATTCAAAATCCAGACTGTCCCCTGACCCTATCTCATATTAGGGGTGGCAGTCTTTCTTTACAATCTGTGGCAAGATAGGGGACATCTAGATCTGGACTTTGTAATAATACAGCTGTATTCTGGATCCTAGGCAGGGAACAAGGAAAGAAGGAAGGCAGAGAGGGAATGAAAGGAATGAAGAGAAGCCTCTAGGCCAGCCTGGGTATCCGCTCCCTGGAAGAGCTCACCAGGTCTCTGGTAAATGCCCTTTTAAGCCAGCATCTAAGATTAGCAGTGTGATATGCAGCCTGTGGGTTTACACAGCACTGTAAAAATCCCTGCACGGGCTGGCTCAACTATTTGCAAATCACTTCTGATTCAATTTTGTTTTGGTTATCTCAGTATAAATAACAGTTAAGTAGGAGTTACAGATTTTTCAAACACTAAAAGTGATAAACAAAGCTAATGGCAAGTCCAGATAAGGAGGAAAACCACCCAGAAGAATCCACAAGAACAAGCAAAGAAATAAATGAGGGAGTCTGATGTGTGTGTTTCTTGTCACTGAAACTTTATTTTTCTTCATCTGTAGAGTGGCAGAAAAGGTATATGCAGGGTGTTATTTAGACTGTTTCTGTTAGAGTCTTTATGATAAAGTGGTAATAGGTGCCTGGTGAAGCAAGACAGTTTGGAATCCACAAAACCAACGCCGAAACAAAGATTCAAGTGTTTCCCCAACTGCTAGCTTGCAGCTCCCTCTTCTAAACAGTTTTCACGCCACCATTTGAAAATAGTTGGCATAATGCACGTTCTTTCTCTGCACGTTCTGACCGTATTTCCACACGGAAAATAGGAACAGAAGTAGCCACTGAGGCATTGCGAAGCCTTCCTGTACCTGTTACCTCTTTTTTTTTTTTTTTTGAGAACTAGAGGAACGCCAGTTGAATTATCCAAAACATTCTTTGCTCTAGAAAGTCCTATCTCTCCTTCGACTGATAAGTTAGGGGAGCGAGGAAGAACAAAATCCTCGCCCCGGAGGGAAGAGGGGGTAAGACGGGGCGGGTGTGGGGTGGGGGACACAACAAAGGATCTGAGTGACAAGCGCAGGGAGCATTTGGGGGGCTTGATCGCGCCGAGGCTGAGCGTGAGTGTCGCCGCCACGCACCGCCGCCTGCGTGTTCGAACGCTCGGCTGAGCTGCCCGGTTCCCGAGCGCCAGCCCCGCGCGCCACCCGACTCCTCCCGAAACGCCATTGCTCGTGGCATTGTGTTGGCTTCTACGTGTGTGGCAGCGGGCAGGGAAGCGGGCGGGTGCGAGGAGAAGCAGGATCCCCACCCCCCAAGACCTCTTTTCCCGCAGGGTCCTTCTCGGGCGGGGGGCGCGCGGCCAAGGACAGCGCGCCCCGGAGGTGCCGGGGCCGGAACGCGCCAGCCGCCCGTCGCGGGTGCCCGGGGCGGGCTGGAGGTGCGGGCTGGGCGCGGGAGGCGAAGGTGGGGGCGGCTCGAACTTTGATCCCCACTCCCACTCCCTCTCCGAGGGCCAGCGTCGGGGGGGGGTGCGGATGGAGGGGGCTCGAGGGGTGGGTACGGGGGGGAGCGTCCAGCCGCCGCTGCCGCCGCCGCCGCCCCGCCCGGTGCCGCGGCTCTCGCCTGTGCGCCGCGCGTCTCCGCGGCTGCCTCTTTAATCAGGAACACAGAAGGGGCGGGCCCTGAGCCGGCGCGTAATCGGATAGCTGTGCCGCGGCTCTGACATCCACATGCTGCTCGGCCTGAAAAGGCAGGGGGGGAGCCGGAGGGGAAGCAGAGACGGCGAGCCAGGCACCCGTCCGCCCGCCGCCCCCCGCGCTGCCTCCGACGCGCAGAGCCGCGGCCAGGCGCGGGCCGAGGTGGAGGTGAGCGCGCGGGCGCCGGCGAACTCGGAGAGGGGCTCGCTCGCTCCCTCGCGGGCCGTCCCCGCCGCACCCGCAGCAGCAGCGGCGGCAGCGGCAGCAGCAGCACCGGCGGCCGCAGCGGCAGCGGCAGCAGCAGCAGCAGCAGCAGCAGCCGCGAGCAGCCGCGCAGGAGGCGGCTTCCTTCCTCAGATTCCCCTCGTGAGGCTGGCCGAGCGGGGCTGAGCTGGGGGGAGGCTCCCGCGCGGGGAACCCGGCGAGGGTGAGAGCCGCGCGGCTGCCTCCACTTCGGGGCGTGTGTCCGGCGGTCGGTGCCTCCGCCCGCGAGTCGTCCCTTCTGCCCGGGGATGTGCGTCCGTTTACGCCTCTGAGATCACACAGCTGCCTGGGGGCCGTGTGATGCCCCAGGCAAGTCTTGACTTTGATTTTTCTTCTTCTTCTTCCTTTTATTATTCCTACGTGGTGTTCTTTTTTCCCTCCCCCCAGTTGGCTTTCGGAAAACATGCGTGATGTTGTAGGATAAAGGAAAGACTTTGAGGAACTGGAGAGGACATACAGGCGTTTTGTTTTTAAGAGAGGAAACCCGTGCCCTGGTCGCGCGGCTCGCTCCCTCTCTGCCGCTTTCCCAGCGCTGCCCTCCTCCTGGTGAGGTGGGGAGCCAGCGAGAATAAAGGTGTGGACGGGCAACCAGGACCCTCCGGAGGGAAACCCTCGCTATTAGTATCCTTAACTGAAGACACTGTCAGGAAGAACGTAAGCGAGAGAAAAATACAAAGACTTTATAATTCTACTACAAGAAACCTACAAATCCTTCTCTCGGAAAAACCTTCTCCAACATGGATATGTTTGCGCTCACCTGGGTTTTCTTAGCTCTCCACTTTTCGGGACACCAAGTGGAAGGCCAAGCAGGTAAGTCCTGAAAGTTGGTTTTTATTTTTTCTCTTCGTTTCAACATGCTTTTCCCTGTAAAAGTGACTGCTAATGAAGGGGGGCGCCCCAGAATGGCATAGACAGAGACTCCCTCAATACTGAATAATTTAAAGAGAACCCCTAACCTGCCCTACTACAACACCACTACCGCTAAACCCCAACTTTTCTCTCCTGCTCTGTGTGTGTGTGTGTGTGTGTGTGTGTGTTTTGAAACATAGATTTTGGCGGTGTTCAGATGTCACATATGGACTGAATCAAAGGTTTAAAAATACTACAAAGCCTTTGCATTACAGTTTTTTGGGAAATTTTTTTCCTGTCTTGAAGCAGAACACATCTCCCTTGAGTTTCTTCAACCTAGCCAGCAAAATATAAATCATTTGCATTCCCTCCACTTAGCTATCTTGAGCAATGTTAACTGAAGGGCTTGGGAAAGACAGAGGCTAGTTTGGATTTTCCAGTGCTGTGGAGTCTTTGCAGAATGTGAATACACTTCAGAATCATAGGGCTCAGCCTCAGAGAGCAAGTTGGCTGGTAGATGAGCTAGGGGCTTGAGGCTGGGCGCTGCTGGCAACTAAGGTGGTTGGTTGGTTGTGCCCTGGTGTCTTCCAAACTCGTGTGTTTCTGGGAATAAAAATTAAGTGTTCTTTTCAAAAATAATATTAGATAAACTAAACTGTGTAGCCCTCAGAGGTCACTCACTCTTGTGAAGTGGTTAGAAACTTTTGAGAGGAATTTGTTCTCAACATACTGCCAAAACGGGTGTGTGGACAGACTGCAGAGATAAAAGCACCAAAAGGCCCAAAACAGTTTGGGACCAATATTGGCTGGGGGATTGAGCTGGCAAGGGGTACACTCCCTGACATGGGATCTCCGTTTCCAGTGAGGCTTGTCTTGTCGTTCCCCACACCATCCTCCAGAGCCAGCTTATCTCCCCGCACAGAACAGTGTCTGAGTGGAATGTTCTAGCTCTGACTGAGAAGCTGCTACAGGTGATGGAGACTGGGGAAACTCCATGAGGGCGAATAAGGGGAAGAGAGGAGACCAGGCTTTCTGGAGTGGCTGTCCTTTTCCGACACCCTTAAACAACGGTGGAGCTGTGGAGCTATGGCCACATTGGTAGGGCTCATTCCTGGCAGCCTCCTGGGGGCCTCTCCCGCACTGCAGCGGGCTAGTGGAGCAGGGGGAGCCTGGTTTGACTAAAGGGGCAGCTTTGCTCCTACTGTTCTGGTTCTCACCCCTCAACCCATCCACCAGTCCCACCCCACACCCCCTCCCAGCTTAGCTGTTTATTTGCTTGGTAGGAAAGAGATAGGAATGCCCTTGCTCCCCCCATCCACAGACTGGTGGTGCCTTCTAGGCTCTAGCTGGTCTTGGGGCAGCTACTAAGGGTCTAAAGCCATGGGCGCAGGACCCACCTGGGGAGGCTTCCAGCATCTCCCTATTACCTCTTGCCTTAATTCTAAGTTCCCAGCTTGAAGTGAAATTAAATTACCTCCCACAGAACTGGATGCTGCATAAATTATGCATGTTTGTGTGATTCGCTGTGTGTGTCTGTATGTGCGCAGGGGCGCAGAGCGCGGTAAGGATGCCCACGGTCTATTCTGTCTTCAGGACTCTAGTAGGCCCTGGCACACGAGCGCGTGCACACGAGCGCACCCCCCTTCCCCGCGCGGGCGCGTGCACACACACACACACGCATGCAACTTCAGCTTCTGTGTGCTGCGAGAAGCGGGCGGGATCGCTAAGACTCGGGACCATCTCCTACCCAGATGTTCGCACATCTGTCCCCGAGCTCTGCGCGGAGTGTGTAGGACACCCGCTGCTCGGACCCTCTCCGGCTCTGCCACCTGCCTCCCGCGCTCTCTGCAGAGCCCCCTCTTCACCGGAGCCCCCGGGCCGCGCTGCGTCACTCCTTCAGGAGACGCAGGGCGCCAGGGACTGGCCACCCACCGCAGTGAGATCCCGGGCAGCCTCAGAGCCCGGCTGAGTGTCGCTGGGTGGGCTGCAAGGCTGGGACCTGCCCAGAATGGCTGCACTTCAGCTCGCCCTATCCGCCCACACCCCGCCAAAGGCGACCGCTCGCAAGGCGCCGCGGGCCGCTCGACTTCTACGTTGCAGCAGCCGACTGGCACCCAGGGAACTGGCAGAGGGTGGCAAAGGGCGAGGCCCAGTAGACGTTCTGACTCACCCTGATGTGCGCCCGGGGCCAGGGCCAGCCCGCGGCGGCGACGGGAAACCCTTTCCCGGACAGGGTTCGGTAAAGGGAGGGCGGAAGGTGCATGCGGGGGAGCACCGGAGCGATTAATTGGCGGCCTTGGCGCGTGGCCGCGTGTGCGTCCATGCTGGGCGCCCCACTCTGCCCGTCACGCCGAAACCCCCACCCGCCGCCGCGCCCCTCACATTGCAGCTCGGACTTCTGGGCAGCTTTGCGGTGGGCGCCGGGGCGGGGTGGGGGTGGGCTGCCCGGAGCGCCCCCCTCCTCCTGCCGTTTGCGCTCCACTCTGCGCAGCGTTTGCATTGCCCCACGGTCCCCGGGAGAGCCGGCTCAGAAGCGCTGAGGATGTGGTAGCCTGGGTGGGTGTTCCGGGGTGCGGGCGCAGAGAGAGAGAGGGAAAAAGTCACTGGTGGGAACTGCGGGAATGCACGCAACTTGGGCTGTCTGGTGGCGCGCCCGAACGCCGCCACGGAACCCCAACAGGTGAAGAGCACGCATCGACGCGGGGGCCATCCACGAGAGGCGGGGACGCTTTGCGCCATGGTGCCTACTACCCACAACGCTCCCTAACCCCGTCTCTAACGCCGCATCGATTTATTTAGGCTACGCAGCTGAAAGTGAGCTGAGATATCCAAAGGCACTGTATTAGGCGCGCGCGCGCGCGCGCGCGCACACACACACACACACACACACATATACATATCACACACACGGCGCAAGCCTGATCCTCCTTGGCCGCTTCTGAGTCATCCAGCCTTGCCCGGGCTACAGGACACCCCACGGGAGCAGCTCTCGGCCCGGCCACCCGGTGCCCGAAAGTTAAGTCGCCGCAGCTGCGCTTCTCTCCGCCCAGTGAACCTCCAGAGTCGCGGGCGAGTGCCGCCTCCCTTCCAATGCCCCGCCGCCCCTTGCTCTTTGCTTTTTTTTTTTTTTTTTAAATTTCCACACGAGCCAAAAGAATTCTCACTGATTGATTTCTTTTTAATATCAACGCAAGTAAACGGAGACCCTTGGAGCTGTGCAGAAGCGGCCGCCCTCCACCCTTAGCCCGGGGCTGACTGCCGCAGTGTAACCCCCGAGGTCCCCAGCGGCTGCGGGGCGAAGGCCGGATTGGATGGGTAAAGGGGGGTGTACCCGCAGAGCCAAAATCCTGGAACAGGCGGGGCAAGGGATGCAGTAAACCGACCTCCCCTCCGGGAATCATGGGGTGGGGTGGGAAGCTGTTTTCCCGGTTGAGTTCAGAGGGGTCTGGCCCGACCGCTCCGCGGTTCCTGCGGCTCCTGTTGAATTTCTGGGGGAAGGCGAATTGACTCTCAGGATTATTGGCTGGTGCTCACTGCTTGCCTCCTCCCTCCAGCTCCCGCCCTTCCTTTCGTTTTCTAGCGGAGAGCAGAGCCCCCTGGCGCTAGCCCTTCCTCAGCTGCGCCTGCCGAGGAACTCGGGTTTGCTAGAGTTAACCTTGGTCCGCGCACGGGGACTGGATTTTACTCAGGAAATTATTCAGGCCCTGACAATAGATTTCTTTAACTGGTGACAACTCCCAGCCCAAATGGCCCCACCTCCCAGACACATCGTTTAGAGCCAAAAGAACTCTAGAACACTCTAACCAGAGCCCACACTTTACCCCTACACACACACACACACACACACACCTTTGATCCTGTACTTGGATTTTAACACCATTGCCATGGACAGGAGCAGACGGGGTCGATTTAACCTTGTGTCTCTTGTGACTGGGTGATCAGATAAGAGGTGTAAATTGGCTGTAGGAGACAGGTCTGGGTTCAGACTAATCCTGAATGAGAAGCTAGGGGAGGGTGCAGGCAAGGGCGGGAGCAAGGGTTTCACTTTTAGCATGTCGCTTTAGAAAGCAGGCAGGCAAAATGATTTGCAAGCAAAACTGGATACTCCTGGTTTTTTACACAGACTACCTGCCTCTGGGGTTGGCACTCCTGCCTGCATTCATTTGGTGCCCAGTAAACTTTGCCCCATAAGCAACCTAGTAAAGCCGCTACCAGTTGCCAACAGAACACACAGTGCAACGCGGTGGAAAGAAGAGAGCCACCCAGGAGGGCTCAAGGGCAAGCCCCTTCTTGCCCCAGATGTGCCTGGTGGGACTGTGAATATCTAAGCAACAGGGCAGGTTGGGACTTTGATATCATTTTGTGACCTCAAATTAAGCCCAGAGCACCCAACTGGCAAAATAAGGTGATTGGAAGGATCTCATAGTGATCCAGACAGGACTCCTGCTGTCAACCAAATGGATCTCCTTCCCTGCTGTTGAGTGGAAGGGCCACAATCTTCTCCAGAAAGGCTGCTTCCTGTCTTGGTGGTAATGAAAAAGCTAGGAGCTCAATGATGATTTTTTTTGCCCAGTGAGATTCATGCAAGGAAATCTTGGGGGGAGTTTCTGAGGGCCTAGAGTTAGTGATCCCAGGAGAAGATACCAAGGACTAGCCGATGCTGAGGACCTTGCCTGGTGTTTTCCATCTCAAGCCACTGCTCATTAAAGCAATCTCAAGCATGAGCAGACTTTGGCCCAAATGTGAGACAGTTCGAAGTTGACAGGTTCATTGGTAAAGAATTTCAGAATCTGTTTCCCAAGCATCCCTTTGGAAAGGCCTTAAGAAATAATGATGAGATTTTACTTTTTAAAAAACTTGAAAAGAATGGAGTGTTACTACTATTTTCATGTCTAACTAGAGTGGAATTTTTGAAAGTTTCCACCAGACATTAATTGATATTTTCACTAACCTGTTTGAAG